AGAAACATATAATTAAAAGATGAATTTGGTAGAATTTGAAGTGTGGAGGCTTATATTTTGGGAAATATGTTCCAGCTGACGTGTGCATAATTTAGTTGGAAATTTTGTTCGCAATCATTACAAGATGACGTTGTTTTTGTGGTAGGTAAAGCTTTTAATTCACTTTTATTTGACTGATACAATTACCAGTACTAAAGCTTCTTACGTCATCACAGCAGAGAGACATCGCTTTCTGAAATTCAGAATGATTTTGATAGTTCTCACTCCGGTCGTATTAATCGATCAACAATTCGATAGCATTTGCAATATTTAGGTCAAAACGATTTTAGCGATTAATATCACAACAGCATAGTAAAATGATAGCGGCAGAGTAAATGAATTCATTTCCTTCTTCTTATTTTAAAATTTATTGGAAAACAAAATTTGCGATTGCGGTAATGTTCGGTGATGGTTTGTTGTTTGAGATAGATTGGTGTACATTTCATATATCAGAGAGGACAGACGGATGAAAACTTCATGAGAGAAGGAAGCAGCGCAATTCAACTATGAAGAAGGAAAGTAAGGAATCTGTGTTACACCGAAAGGAATGGTACGGTAGTGACTCCATGCTTTCTTAAAGCATAAGAAGTTTCACAAATGAATTAAGAAACTGTGAATTCTTTCCTCTGTTAGACCCTAAAATTCCTAAAGTAATATTTTCTGTTATTTATGCTCACAATGTAAGTGTAATGAAGTTAAAATTCATCTGGAATTCTTTTCATAATTGGTTGATATGTTCTCTGATAAAATAAATTTTTGATTTTGTTGAAAGGTGTGTAGTGGGTTAAATTCAACTGTAGAATTGATTTATCATTTTATACCTGAAATTTTAAATTCATTACAATTCATGACATTTTTAATCATATAGTCAATGTTTTCAATCTTATTTCATTCAAGTATTCAGAAATGGAATTAAGCCTTTTGTAAATAATATGCACAAAACACACGTAGCTATAATAACACAAAACAAATATTGATTATCTTTGGATTTTGATTTTAAATATTTAATTTTAAATGAAAAATTATATTTTTTAATTTTTTCCTGTACATAGTTTTTTGAAATATGGAAACATTTGCAAGAAAACATGATAAAATGTCTTTTGATTAATTAACTAACATATTGAACAAATGATTAATAAATATCATTATGATTTTTCATTCTAAAATAAAGCAATGGTATCTAAACATTTGAATATATTATGCATGTACACTGTTGAATATCGCTTCCTGTTGTTGGCTTTTTTGCTTTATGATTAAAAACAATATCCGAAATAAATTATACCATAATGAAGAAAACCATTGCTGTTAAAAATATTAGGTAGCAATATCTTATAAAGTAGATCATTAAAAGCTTCAAAATACTGACTTGAAAATTGGCATCTCTAATTTCTCTTTTTCTCTCATTATGCATGCCTTTTCTCTTCAATTCATTTACTTTTTCATCTTTTTTAAATTATTTCAATGGCACGTTTTTGAAAAAGAAAAAAAAATATATACTGTCATGACTTTTTTGGTGCTATGAGCTGGAAAATTTTAATGATTATAACCAAAGATATGCAATTATCAAAAATAAAATTAGAAAGATTTATTGAAAAAGGCAAGGAATAGATCGAAAATCGTTTAATCAAATGTTGATCAGTGACGAAACTTGTCAACAATACGAGGCCAGAAAAAAAAATTGTCGAAGAAAAAAGTAATACCCCTCGAGCTACACGTTAGCATTGACAGAATCGTCAGTACAAATTGGCTACAATTACACTCAACAAATTTCTCCTCCTCGTCTATCGAGAAACTTGAAATTTTGTGATATAAAAATTATTTACATGAACAGATATTTTGTATCACTGACAGTTAGACTAACCAGAAAATTGCTCTCGACAGTCTTTTAATCAACGTTAAATTTAATTTCTTGTCACACGATATTCTTTATTTTGTTTTGCTCGAATGTCATTTATAGTTATTGCTCATCAAAATTTCCCGCCATTACATATTCTCTGTTTTTCTTTCTATGTATAACAAATGTAGCTAACAAGCACTTTCTTTCCCACCGCTTCTTCCTTTCTCTTCATCACATTACACTGTCTGTCTACTATCGATTTATCTCATAAAATCGATAGTAGACAGTGTAATGTAATGTAAATGATCTGCATGATTCCTGACTTGTCACACGTATCTCTACAAGTTTTTTATTGATTTATTATATATCAGAGTGAATAAGTGGAACTTATATTATGAAAATGGTAGATGGACACAATCCTATAATCGAATTCTTTATACAACGATAACATAAAGAAATGTACCACGCAGAAATTATTCGTACATTTTTAGAATTAAAAAGGGAGTTTAAGTGCACAATGATAGAATTAAAGTCAAATAAGTATTGAATAAATGTATAGGTTATAAATGATGGAAGGCGAAACCATTCAAAACAATTTGCCTAATTTTCTAGAGACTCGAATAAATGTTCTCGAACATTTGCAAGAAGATGCTTGAATTATTTGGGTCTTGTTTTTGTTAAAATTGATGCAGGTAAACGTAGATGAATTACATTATTTACTTGTTTCACTACTAAAGCAAATTGAATAGGAAAAAGTTCTTTATAGTTATTTTTACGTAGATATGGTTACTAAAGAATTATTTTTTATACTGGAATATAACGGAATGAGAATTTGGCTTTTTGTATTTTTTAATCACGATTTTATATAAATCTCGGTAATAGATAAGAATAATTTTCTGCAATGCGCATCTGAATGTGACCATAAAGTTACTTTTATAATTGTTTAAAACAACCTGAGCAGAGCATACTTAAAAAAAGCTTCCTTTTCTTGAGTTATGTATATCGCAGCACTGTATGCAATTGAGAAAGTATCGTTAAAAACATAAATTTTTATTGGTTGTAACTTCTATTAAATCAAGAAAGTTCAGGTCCACGATGTAATATGACGTCATTTTCATTTCTTTAGAATGTGCTAGAGCATCAAAGACAATTTTAACTTTGGTTATGGTCTCATTCTGAGTTATAACTTCAGGATGGGGTAAATAATAAATGATATCAATCGAGTTCATTTTGGGACATACTTTTTGGATAATTTTGAATCGTAACTGATCGTGAATTATTTCATTATGTTTCATTATTCTAAAGTTTTTTGATTAGTAATTTTAAATGACCAAAACATAGTTCTTCAAGACTATCGTTTAGATTAAATTTCGTTTCTTTCCATGGTCAAGTAACTTGATATCTTCCATTAATTTTAGTGGTGTTTTCTTTAAATCTTTCTGGGACTTGTTCATCATCATGAATATTAAGCTGTTCTTGTCTGCTTACGTATTCTAATTTCCAGAATCAATCTATGTCTGAAATGTTTACATTGATTAGGTATAGTTATGCATTTCCCCATTTCTGAATGATGTGACATTCAATATGAGCTATTATTTCGTTAGAACCAAGAAATTATTTATGTATCCTCTTCCAGTTATCATTGGATGAATTTTTGTATGAATTAAGAAGAATCCTGATTTTATAGTTTGGATGTTGTTGGATTAAATGAATTCAAAAATATAATCGAAAATCACATTTATTATAAATAAGTTTTAGATTGCACTTATTTGTAATGAAGAAAAAAATCAAACAAATACAACTAATCCATATTCAAGATCATCATTGACATGGGAAATGTCTGGAATCTAACCAAGATTATTAAACGAGAAGTAAACTTAGATATTGCTTCAAGAAATCAATTATTTATGATTTTATTTATTACTGTACGTAAAATAGCTTTTTATCAAACAGCACTTATGATGCATAAGGAAACTACAAAATTTACTAAATCATTCATAACTTCTCATAAATAATGATTTAAGAATAAAGTTCTGTGCAGAAGTATCGTGAAAATGTTTTTGATTTAATTGATTTTGTCACTTCATGGATAAAAATTATGAAGATTTATTTTTTAGGGAAGATTAGCAATAATGCAGTATGACAAGTATATTTGACGAAGATTTCTTGATTACTGAAATTGAAATAATCATTCCTAAGTTGGATGGCACTTAAACGGAATTGGTTGAGTCATGGCTCCGGTCAGCAAGTAATCGCATAGCGGAAGAATGTTGATGCTGCTAAGCCTGACTGTTGATGTGGATGGTGAGATTGACCTAAGAGTAATGAGTTATACTTTATATATTCTTGTTGGGTAGTACTTGGCTGGCATTCGATCTAGTAGGCAATTTTATACTTGAATAAAGAAGTTACAGTACTTCGGTCGATGAGCAAAAAGCCATGCAACAATTTTTTAGATGAAACGAGCCCATGGTTAACTATTCTATTCAGACACATGGCAGACACAAAGCCAATGGCTAATCGATATTCTTTATACAATTGTTACATTTTTCGACTTTCGTCGATAGAAGGTTCTAATTGATGAAATGTGCCTGTTGCAAATGCATTCTCTAATAATTTACTTTCAAGATTTTCAGAAATCAAATTTCAAAATGAATAAAATTCAATAAAATGGCTATATATGTAAAGATTGAATGTGTTGATAGTTGGGCTTCGAAAATTGTTCTGAGCACTTTTCCTCATTTCTATTTAAAATTTTTTAAATTTCATGATGTCATTGAATTAACGCTGATTTTTCTAAAATTGAGTAAAAATGCAATATGAAATAAAGTAATGTAGAAATTTGTTTCCAACGTTCCATGTCTCTCATATTCGCGAAAAAAGAGAAACTGAAAATTTCAATCATAATTTTGAGAGTTTGTCTTCAATGCTAAACGACTGATAGAATTGATGCATTATCGTTAGTTCTGTGTTTGATTTGGAAAAAGTTAAAAGTGCAAGGTATTTTCAACTTTTTCCTCTCCAAGACTGACCTTCGCTTCTAATCTTAATCAGTTTTAACGATCGCATAGACTATCGATTATCGCTTAGAAAAGAAAAGCTAAAACACTGCTTTCGATACATCATGTCAGGTAATTTTGATTATAGTTCCAACAATTTAATTGATCAACAGGAGAAATAATAGCTTAGAGAAGAAAACATATACTTTAAAAAGAAAACGATTAAATTAACTTTAAAAAATTACGTCAAAAAGGTAACAAAACATTTAAAGTTACACGAAACATATATGTTACATGTGTTCAACTTCCTATACTAGGTGAAAATAGCACCGTAACACCTCGACCAGTTGAATTGAACGATGGTGAAAAAGCATGCGGTGAAAAGATAACCGCAGCGATATAAGATGGTGAAAAGAAGGACGGTGATAGTGCAAATGGGCTTGCGATTACAGAGCCAAGTGCTGATGGTGAAAAAACGGAAGGGTTGAGAGCAAATGGGCTCAAAATAGCAGGTGAAAGTACAGATGGTGATACAATACCCGGTGATAATGCATTGGGTGATAAGATGGCCGGTGAGAGTGCAGCGGGACTTAGAATTCCCGGATTAAGAGCAAATGGTGAAAGGATAAGAGAAGCAAATGCTACGGGTGACAAGACCGCAGGAGCAAATGCACGTGGAGATAGAATGGTACTGAGAAATGCACCTGGGCTCAATATAGCAGCACCAAAAACTGATGGAGAGAAAAGTGATAACGAAAATGCTGCCGGTGAAAGAATGGATGGTTGCGCACTTGGATTAAAGATATTTGTAGTGAAAGCTGAGGGAGCAAGTACATTTTGCCGTTTCTGGCGTATTTTTAGTGAAGAATGCATTTTAGCCATATCACGGATATCATTAATGAGATGACGGTGCATATCATCTTCACTTAATGACATGAAAAAATCCAACGCCTTACTGTTGTTTAGAGGTGATTGTGGGCCATAGAACATAAATAGTTGTTTTGGAGTCAACATCGAGAATCCGGTTGTATTGAAGTCCATTAGCTGTAACATTTTGTATTATTCAAATTATTTGCTTTAAATAAGAATGTTAATTAATTTTTAGTCATATGCAGCTCAATCTTTTCGGTTGTGTCTTCGAAATCAAAAGCTCTAAAAATTAAATGTGAGAGTTATAGAAATTTCTCATTTTATATCATTCTCAGGAAATCATCAAAAGTCATTTATAGTATCATTATGAGGAAGACAAACTTGTTTCGA